ACGGGAGACAAGGAAAAAGAAAGTCAAAAGATACACAAACAAAGGCGAAGCAACTATTTTATTCAAAATATACATGCGCAATAGCCGCACCTTACAAAAGGCCAAAACATGCCCTCAAGAAAAAGATGAAAATAAACGACAAAGGAACAAAAAAAAACTAAGTATAAAAGCTACGGCAAAGTTTCACTCAGGGTCATCCCTACCGCCGTTCTCCCCAGCATCATCATCATCATCGGAAGGAGGACCATCCTCAATATCAACACCCTCACCGGCCTTCGATGTCGCAGGGTCGTAACCGCAGGTAATACGAGCCTCGCGCGCCTTCGCCCGAGCATCTTTGAAGGCGGCCTCAAGGACGCTCCCCACCTCCCACAACCCCTTGTATATATCACGTTGGGCCTCGGGGAACAACAGCCGATGCAGACTCTTGAGGCGGAGCTTGAGCCAATAACTGCGCCTTCTCAGCTTCAAGAGCTGCAACTCGGTCTCCCAAGCTCGAAGCATCCCCGTCGAGTTCGCCGATTCGCTCCTCAAGCCGCGCCTCCCTCAGCGTGGCCGTCGCCCTCTCAGATTCCTGCTCAGACTTGAGGACACGGATAGTGTCTTCTAGTGCCACCGCCCTCGCTACAGCCGACACTCGAGCATCCTCGGGTCTCTCTAACTCGACCACTTTCCTTTCCAGCTCGTCCACTTTCTCCGGCCATTCTAGACTAAGAGCGTCGACTCTAGCAGCATTTCGCTCAAGCTCGGCTCGTAAGGACAGAACCTTCGCCTGAAGGTCCTCGCATTCAGCGGCGACCCCTTTGCCCACCTCAAGCTCTTCGTCCTTGGCATGAAGCAGCGCCTCAAGCTCACTGCATCTAAGGATAGACCGCATCAACTCCTCATCTCTTTTGTCCAACTCCTCCTTGATAGACTGAGTACTAGCGCCCGCTCTGAGCTACTCGTGCATCTCACGGCACCTGTTGCGATACCGCCGATACTTCTCGGCCATTTTCAGAAAAATCTCGGCCCGCGTCTCCGCCCTACGAGCACTCTCGACCTCCAACATGTAAGTTTAAAAAATAGAGGGAAGAAAGAGTCAGTATAAAAGCAAAGATCATAAAACGAAGAAAGCAAATGGGAACTCACCCTTAAGGCCATTGCTGCCACACCGCGTGACAACTCAGAATCGTTGACCTCCTGAAGAGATTCGCTCTCAGCGGCGGAGCATAGAAGATCGAACTATAGCACCAAATCGACCGTGTCTTGCAACAGGTTGAGGTCCGACGAAATTTCGAGTATTCGAGAAGGGCCTTCCGCCCTTACCACAGTTCGGGTAAAACCCTCGTCGAACATCCTCATGTCCTCAGGCTCAATGTCGGATTCGGATTCATAGTCCTCAACCACGACGCCTTTCCCCCTCTCGTTGGCCGAAGAAGGGGTGCGGCTCGGCTGAGATGACGATGGCCTGTTCGGAATAACAACTGCAGCCTCGGAACTTCGCCCCTCCGTCACAATAGCCTCCTGAACGCTCGCAACGGGCATCGCCTCCGTATCCTGGCTGGCACCACCACCGGTTTCGGGTACCGTCGAAGCAAGGTCGCCCCTCGATGCTGATTCGGCTAAGGAAGCCCCTTCCAACACTACCCTTCGCCTCTTCGATGGGGTCTCTCCACTACCAACGCGGGAAGATTCGCCCGTTGAACGGACTACGGGAGCTGGAATCTCAGGTTGAGGAGCAACCTCCAAGCGTACGGCTTTGGTCGCGGGCACGGTCCGACGAGCGGCCAGACTTCCTACACCCTCGCCCGCAGTAGTTCTTGATGCAGGCCTGGCAGAGGGCACCGGTTGAGGGAATGAGAGCGGAGGAGCCCTCGTCCTTCTCGCTCCTCTCCGACCTGTCAGTAAGGAGGGAGTTGATCACATAACGGCGAGATATTAAAAAAAAAGTGTGAAGTAAAGAACAAAGCGACACTACGATGAACCAACTCACCAGTAAGCGCCTCGCGCCCAAACTTCCCGTGAAAAGACGCCCACTCGCGAATCCCCATTGTGTGGGGGAGAATCGCGCTCACCCACTCGCGGTATCGGCGACTAGCGTAGGAGGTAGTCTCTCAGCTACAAAAACAAAAGTAGATCTTCAACGAAGTCGTTAAAAGGAGACGACTGACGACCGTCTTAAGAAAAATTGCACAAAATAAACAGAAAGGAGAACTTACGAGCAAAATTCCACGTCTTAGGAAATCCCACCGGGTTCGATACAACATGCTCCGTTCGGACATAAAAGTAGTTCTCTCAGAAGCGACGGTTGGTCTTGTCGTCCATCTTCACCACCAAGCTCTTGGTTCCTCGATGACGCATATGAATTATCGTACCTCTTAGAAAATGGGGGGCGAAGAGGTGGAGCATGTGTCCCAGGGAGATTCCTCGGCCAGCCAGCTCTGCGTACTTGATGAGCATAATAAAGAGCTTGTACGCGTACGGAGAGAGCTAGGCCGGGAACACCTCATAGGAACGACAGAAATCCGCCACTAAGGAAGGAAGGGGGAGCGTGTACCCAATAATAAAGGGATACGCGTAAAACACGCAATAGCCCGGACGGTGCAAATGTACTATGTCCTTATCCACCGGCACCATTTCAATATGATTGGGAATTCCCCACTTGGATTTAAACGCCGTGATCGCCTCAGCATCCATCGTGGAAGGAACGAGCTTCGGTTCATCCCCGGCAGGGGTGCTGAAATCAGTCCTCGCCTTCCCCGAGCGGGGAACCACCTCATCCACCGACGGAAACCCCTCATCTTCCACTACTTCCACTCCCTCTTCTAGTAGGGGCACGTCATTCTCCGGCACCGGAGCACCAGCAGCTCTGTCGGAATGTGAAGAAGAACTAGCCATTTGTTTTCTTTGATAAAAAGAAACGAAGACGATGAAAGAAAAGATGATGATCACAGCGAATCCTAGCAGAGGCAGAAATATGAGAGATTAAGGAAAGAGGGGAGGATTTGCGAGATTCTCTCTTGAGCAATTGAAAAACGTAACCTTCAAATGTGAGGTTCCCCCTATTTATAGGGATATAAATGTCTTAAGCGGGAAAGTCAAGAGCCACCAGTTAGAAAATGGAAGGGGCACGGGAAACGACACAATATCTGGAAAACGTGTGCCATAATGACGCATGGGGAATAATTGATAGCACCCTGAACTGACGTGACGGTCCAGTCCTGAACTGACGTAACGGTCTGACGCAATTCTCGAAGCATCACGACGCTACTTCACCATGAAGTTCTCGCCCCCGCATAAAATATCCAGATTTCTCTCAATTTTTGTCAGCAGAGTTCGCCCATCGAGTTCGCCAAGAGGCGACTCCAACGGGCAGAGGGACTAACTGTATGGGTCAAAATCTGACCACACGTGAATTAGCGCTAACAGGAATGGTAGGAGGACGGCTAAGCCGTGGTCGTACCCACATGATGTAATAACAACGAAGACCGTGGCCATTGCCGAGATCGAGCCATCCAAAAGCCTGTATGGTGAAGTAATTATCGCGATATTTGAGGGAGGCGGCGTGAAGAACAGTTAAAGGATGAAGGCACTCTGGTTAAGGACCGATGGACAAAAGAGAATACTGATCATATATATAGGAGGCGAGAAGAAAAGAGAGGGGGGGCTTCTTCTTTCCCAGAATGGGAGAAAGAGAAGAAAAACCACGAAAGGATTTAGATAGGGAAAAATAAATCTCTGTAATCATATTTTTTGAATCAATAAAGTTAGATCTCATCCTCAGCTATTGCACTCTATCTCTTCTATCTTAATCGCTGCATCAGAGGATAATATGTCAAGAATGTAAGCCTATCATTTACATTTAATATCTTATGAAATTTATAAGCTTGATCATATCTTACTCTCTTGTTCAACGCATTTAGATTTGGAATTAATTATCCCTGGCTAAGATTTCCTTTATTTCATCAGTAATTAGTTTAACAAAAGGTTTAATACTTTTTGGTCAAACATACTTAAGAGACCAAAAAATAAGGGGAAGAAGATGCGCTGCTGCAGATTTTGTTTTTGGTCCAAAAAGAAACTATTTATATAAAGTTTACGGTGGCATAGTACAAGGAGCTAAGTTTAAACTAGGTACAGGACAACACTGGCCTTCAAAAGTAGAAGAACTACGGGACGACCTCGTGGTGAGTCGTTACAGAAAGTGGGGAGGGGTGGAGCTAGAACTAACTAGTTTCCTATGGGTTGTACAAAAAGAGGCGTCAAGTTAACGCATGACACGGTCAGTGTGTCTAACCAAAAGCATTCCTAAACGATCTTCTTCCAACTGTTGGTGCAGATCACCAGCTCGTTTTTTCTTCCCCACCACCATTACCTCCACCTTCACCACAAAGCAGTTCCTCCTCTTCCTTTCTCTCTTTTTTTCCCCAGCTTTTGACTAATTATCTGTTTTTTTTTCTTCAAATTTCTGATATTTCTTTTTTCCATTAGTTCGGTTTGTTATGTTAGAAGAGAATGACATTACCGCACTTATATTGATTTTGGAACTATCAGAATTGTGTTTAATAGACACATTTGTTACAACATAACATGTTTTATATGTCACAACTCATAACTATTGTTGAGGTGTTAAACGTGCTAAGCGGTGTGTTAATTACACCAAGTTAGAATTAGACCACGGTTAGTTAGTTAGCTTATTACGTAACCAGGGTTAAATGACAGCTCTGGTTGAGTTAGATATGAGTTAGCATAAACAGGGTAGCTAGGATATTTTATACAGTTTTGTCATTTTAGCAAGTTTGCTGATAAGCTTCCAGAACTTTCTCTCTTCGTATATCTTCAATTTCTTCGTGTTCAAACTTGTAATTAGCTTAGATCACTGAAATTGACAAAAAAATGAATGGCCTATAATTTTTGTAAAATAAAATCTCTTTTTTTGTGCAATATTTAATTCCAAAATGAAGCCAATAACTTCCATATCTAGTGTTTGCGTACCCAGGTGCATACACGTATGCTATACGTAAGGTGAAAATAAATATCGGCCAGAAAATATAACGGACTTAATAAATGTGAAATACAGCAATTCTGGCAAAGTAATTGGTTCGTTCCGTTCCACATCATTCACCCGTACTTCCTACTTTTTTTTGGGAAAAATTAGTTGCTCCTCCGCGCCGGCAGCCTGTCACGATGAGTTTGACGGCCAATCATAATATGCTGCCGTCCTGCGCCGATGCGGTTCGGGTTTCACGGGCGAAAAACTCCAGCTCCGGCGGCCGGAAAGTGAAGTTAAGAGTAACAGTTCCTCGAGCGGCTCTGGTGGAGGCGAGGCCTCAACAACAAGTAGCAGCAATCAGAGATGTAAGTAATGGTGCAGGGGTAGCCCTACAGGTTGGGAGAGATCGAGCCGAGGATATGCAAGCTGAAGCCAGAGCTATGGGACGTGCTGCGGGTGCTTCTGTCTATAGTCCCGAACTTTTGGCCACCAAGTATGGCTCTCGCCCATTTAAGGTAAAATTCACTAAATAATAACGAGCTTAAATCAATTTAACTGGACGTGGTTCATTCGCCCAATTTTGCTTGATTGCTTGGTAGGTGTTGAGCAGAGCTCTTCAAATATTCACCGGACTTGGTTCATTCGCGCTAAAAGTATGGCTTGACCGGTTGAACGGGGAGCTTGATCGGAACATGAGATTGCGTGCCATTGAGCTTAGGCAGACTTTCACCAATTTGGGGCCTACATTTGTTAAAATCGGCCAGGGTTTATCCACCAGGCCTGATTTATGCCCACCCCAGTACCTTGAAGAGCTCTCTGAGCTCCAGGTATGTATTTTCTCCCTGCTAGGTGTGCTGAATACTTGTCTCTTTTTTTTTTTTCCTTTTTTTTCTTGGGTTTATTGAACTATATTTCTACTGAAAACCTTGATCGGAATCAGAATTTTCATTGAGGGGTGTAAAAATTACCCACGAAGAAGCCAAGGGTAGTCGATATATACTTTATATACGTAAAAATTTTCTTTTACCTACACAGTGTAATTTTTCGGTGAATGCCTTAAATACATGTGGCTCCACCACTGCTTGAGATATAACTTATTATCAGCTTAGCTTATTGTGTTTATATAAACCTTTGATTGCGGAAACAAACTTGACCATTTTTACTACTGAGCAGGATGCCTTGCCGACCTTTCCAGATGCACAAGCATTTGCATGCATTGAGAGAGAGTTGGATCGTTCACTTGATACCATCTACTCGTCTATATCTGCATCCCCTATTGCTGCAGCCAGTCTTGGTCAAGTTTATAAAGCTCAACTTAAGTACTCAGGCCAGGTTGTTGCTGTGAAGGTGCAAAGGCCGGGTATCGAAGAAGCAATAGGATTAGACTTCTACCTAATAAGGGGAGTAGGCATCCTGATTAATAGATATGCTGACATAATTACAAGCGATGTTGTTGCTCTTATTGATGAATTTGCTCGCAGAGTTTATCAAGAGCTCAATTATGTACAGGTTAGTTTCTGAGTCTTTCTCTTATAAAATGCCTTTAAATGGAATGCATAATAGACAATTTAATTTTATATATATGGAGTCAAGGAGGTGTAGAAGCAGAAGAGCTGCAGAGTTGATAAAATTCTACAACATTCCTCTGGGTTTGAATGTTAATTTTGACAGGTTGATGCAGGAAGGGCAGAATGCAAGGAGATTTAAAAAGTTGTACGCTGACAAAGCAGATGTTCTCGTTCCAGATATTTTTTGGGACTACACAAGTGGGAAGGTTTTAACAATGGAGTGGGTTGAAGGTGTCAAGTTGAATGAGCAAGAAGCAATCGAGAGGCAGGGGCTAAAGGTTTTGGATCTGGTAAACACTGGCATCCAATGCAGTCTCAGACAGCTGCTTGAGTATGGTTATTTTCATGCTGATCCTCATCCGGGGAACCTCTTGGCAACACCTGATGGAAAGCTTGCTTTTCTTGATTTTGGGATGATGAGTGAAACTCCTGAAGAAGCAAGATTTGCTATTATTGGTCACGTTGTTCACATGGTCAATCGGGATTATGAAGCTATGGCTCGTGACTACTATGCTTTAGACTTTTTGTCTCCTGATGTAGATGTTTCTCCAATTGTACCAGCATTGCGTAACTTCTTCGATGATGCACTTAATTCAACTGTGAGCGAGCTAAACTTTAAAACACTTGTAGATGGTCTGGGTGCTGTGTTGTATCAATATCCCTTTAATGGTGAGTTGCTAGTCCTGCAATGAATATGCTGACGAATGGTTAAATTGTTTAACAATTTAGCTATTAGCAAATAAAAGAAATTGTTTAACAGCATTATAGTATCATGTCTGACATTGCTTCTTTGGCTGTTTGATATTCTTGCAGTTCCAGCTTATTACGCATTAATTTTGAGATCTCTCACAGTTTTAGAAGGCTTAGCTCTGTATGCTGACCCTAAGTTTAAAGTACTAGCTGCTTCATATCCATATTTTGCTAAAAGGCTTCTAACGGATCCTAATCCGTATCTGAGAGATGCTCTGATTGAGTTACTTTTCAAGGATGGGAAATTCAGGCAGGCATCATTTTTCCCTTTTTTCTGCTCCTTCTCTAACCTTAGCACATTCATCTGATGAGCTAACATTGTGAAGCTCTTACTCTTGGTTACTACAGGTGGAATAGACTTGAAAACTTGCTTGTCCAGGGAAAGCAAGACAGAGACTTTTCTGCAAAAGATGCTTTGCAACCTGTCCTGAAGTTGTTGTTGGGTCCAGATGGTGTAGAATTAAGGGATTTGGTTATTAAAGAGGCAGTCCGTGTCACTGAAGCTATTATTCTGAGTTCAGTTATTGAATCATTTAATTCTATTCCTGGTCCCATGAGGACTTTTGTTTTTAATGGAAACGCAAATGGCCCCTTTACAATAAGCTCTGCTGAGCAGCAGAGTTTAATGGAACTTAGAACACAAGTGATTAATATATGGGGATTATTGCGATCCTCAGAGAATTTTGATCCAAGTCTTTTGCTACCAATTTTGCAGGTTCGAAGCACTCTCTTTCCATGGAATGTAATTTTGATATTTGGATTGAATTGGTTTATGCATTTTTGGCTTAATGATGCAAGATGGTTTGCCCGTTTACTGTGTATATTCACACATATAAACAGTATATATACCCGTAGTTATAAATGTATGTGTGTGTGAATCTTTTGTTTTGAGACAGACTTTCCCATCATTCTTCTTTTAGTGGTGGTGGCAGGGGAGGGTGGGAAAAGGTTGGAGAAAAGGTGTAGCGCAAGCTCTAATAATGTTTAGCTAGGATATGATGGCCCTTATTGCGTGTTTGCTAGCTTAGTTGAAAAATCATGATGCTTACTAGTGTGATATACCATAATGATTGAAAAATTGTTTTTGGGATTCGTTTTCCTGATTTTCACAATAATGTGTTTCAACCAAACTCCACCAAAGAAAAGTGTCGAGTTTTTGCATATAGAGTATGTGCTTACTGATAACTGTCTACCATACTTGAGCAGGTACTTCAAGAACCAGAAGCACGTAGTATTGGAGGGCGTGTAGTTGGTGGAATATCTCAACGTCTTGCCGCACGCTTACTGCAGCAAGTTCTTCGTGCTCCAGAAACAACGGCCTCTGCTGCACAATTGTTGTCTTGAACTTTTATGTAACATATTAAACGACAATAAATTAGAAATTTGTTTATACTATACATCAATGTATATAATTGTTGTCTTGAACTTTTATATAATGTAACTGACCCATAAACATATTTTAACCGGTGAAAGGAAGGTCATAGAATATCAATCAGATTAGATGCAGCAATCAAGAATTCAATGGAATGGGGTTTGAATTTTGATATTCTTAGGGGAGCTTGCTAGGATTTGGAAGGGTGGTTGTATTATGCGTGCTATATTTTTTAATCGGATCAAGAGGGCTTATGACAGAAATCCGAATCTTGCTAGTCTACTTGTGGATGAAGAGTTTGCAAAAGAGATGGGTGAACGGCAGTTTGTTTGGCGAAGAGTAGTCTGCCTAGCTATCAACTTGGGCATTAGTACACCGGGTATCTCTTCAGGTCTTGCTTACTTTGACTCATACAGGAGGGAAAGTCTTCCTGCCAATTTGGTCCAAGCTCAAAGTGATTATTTTGGTGCTCATACATATGAGAGGATCCATGTGCCAGTGTCTTTCCATACCGAGTGGCTAAGCAGTCAGAACTGAGGTCTTCTGATGTTTTTTTTGGGACCTAATTGAATAAGGTTCTTGTTGTCATTGAATCTAGGAGGTTAGATTCTATAGTATCATCTTGTCAAGTGGTCTCTCAAATGTTGGAACTTCGCCTATATTTTTGGGAAGCCTGTTTGTATTTGTATGCCTGGGCGCCTTTTCTTTGATTTTTGTCCTTTAAGTTACATATGATCATATACAATCAGAGCTAGTATTTTCCATGTGCTGGAGAAGCCTATCAGAGCTTCTCCAGTCCTTTTGTGCTTGTTGATGTGCATTTCTCAGTTTCTCTTATTATTTAAGCCCATTTCTCTTCTCCCTCATCTTACATTTTGCCAATGGTGTGCATGCTATTATCACATTCATTTGAAATGTTTTGAGCATACCTGAATATCTTGGTTAACCTATTTTGTGTTATCAAATTCAGGAAAGATCTGTATTGTATTGATTTTTCTAATGTTTTGTCAATATAGAATTGACCTTTATATAATGTTCATAATGCATGGTGAATTTCATTCTTCTACAGCTAAGAATCATTTCATTATTTTGGGAAGTTACAATATTCCAAATCCTCCTTGTCTTACCTTTCATCACGCCGATACTGAAAAAGTCTCAGGGAAGTATCTTACCCAGATCTCACTTGGACAACAGGCCAACCATTTATCTTTCAGGATAATTCTCAGATCACATCCAGGGGATAAGTTATTCACTAGGGATAGTCAACTAATGTAAAAGGAGTTTTAGAAATTACCTTTACCATTCCCAAATTTGATCTGTTGTGAACTGGTATCAAATGTTTCAGCTAATTCTCTTTTTTCCTTCCCTTATTTCTTTTCTTCACCCCCTCCCCCAAACCCAGGGTCGCAAATTTGGTTGAATTAATTGGAAACCACATTCTGTTCTCTCTTTGCTTCCCTTGCATATTGAACCACGAAGTTTATTGTTTTTAAATTCTCATGACCAGATTGCGAGCAGTTGTCCATACTATGATTTGTAGTTCATGATTCTCACTATGGTTTGACTATTTGTGTGGAGGTTTCACATTTCTCTTTTTTCTTTTTATAACTTCTTGCTTGAGGAATCTAAATTTAAAAGATCATCTATTTTTCAGTACCTTTTGACTCTAAGCTCTTTATTTCTGATTTCTTTTCTCTATATATTGAAAACCAAGAAAAACGGATTGGAAATGACCTCGAACGTTAAAGATGGAAACAACTGGATAATATTTCCATGAGCAGAAGTCACTCAATTCCTTTTCTTCATATAACAATGTTATAGTAACTAACTAAGGTGTGAATACTTATGAAGAGGATAAACGATATGTTCTTGGAAAAGATAGAGATATCAAACGATACTTTGTTTTTTCTGTTTATTATCAATTAACAAGATTGAGTGAGCCTCAAATGGTTCGTCTAAACATAGCTAATATATAAACAATATGCAAAAGAACAAATTTAAATGCATATATATAATAGATAGAAATATTTCAGATGCCAAACATATAGGTGGATGTAATTGACACTAGTATTCACTGATTTGGGTATCCAAAGCATGAGGAATTTCTGTAATTTTTATTCATGGGGATTGTAAAAAGATACAAGACAAGTATTCCCAAAATTTTGAAAGTTAATCGTGTTTTCTGCGTTTGAAATGTTTCTTTAGATTGAGTTATTAAAAATAATGGAGATGCGGGGGATCGAACCCCGTGCCTCTCGCATGCAAAGCGAGCGCTCTATCATTTGAGCTACATCCCCATGTTGTATCTTTGTAGGAGATCAAACAATATAATTCGGATTTATGTAGGTTTACCATTTTTCTATCTGTTTACTTTTTGATAATCATATCATCTATATCTATCTATCTATATTTATATATTTTTTTTTATTATAAAAGCACGAATAACTTATACTAAATGTTGAACGACTAAAATATCCCTGAAATATTGATCGACTTTTATAACCTTAGATATTTATATAATTGGGATATAAGTGTAAATCACCTAAGACTAAAATTCTTTTCGATTTAAACTATACATACACCACCTAAAAAAGTTGATTCTATACGGTAAAAGGTTGTACCAGTATTGCATATACATTTCTTGGTTATATTAGCGGTTAATTGGTGAAGGTTATATAGACTGACGGTGAGTAGCAAATTATCCAAATATCAGTTATCTAATGTAGCCGTAGGAGTAGTTATTTTTGTCCAAAGAGAATTAGGATTGTATCCTCTTAATTATGCATGTCAGCAGTGAGTAGTCATTGTTCAAAAAGAATTACTTCTAAAGAATCGTCTAAACATAGCTAATATATAAACAATATGCAAAAGAACAAATTTAAATGCATTATATATAAAAGATTGTACTAATTTTGAATCCATAATAAAACCAGAAAAGAAGATAATTCGTGTTGGTTTCCTCTTCAAATTTCTTGTAATTATAAGATAACTCTTCATTTTAGCTTTTCCTTGTAATGAAGAGTGTGATACGATTTGTCTAAGAGTAGCATTTTCTTTGTCACCACATTCTGCTGCTGATATTGATGTTAATGATGCTGTAAATAACTGATAAATCTTTCTTAAATAACTAAAGTAGTTCAGTTAAGATATCATGGATAGTAATGTGAATTCAACTACTACGATAAATGATAGACTGAAATTCCGTATGAAACAGACAAGGAAGAGTTGAGGCTTTTCTTGTTTTGTTTTGCTGCATTATGAAATCCCTTGACTCTAAACTCTTCTGAAATATCAAATAATCATGATCTAGGAATAACTTGTGCAGCTAAGGAAGAATAACAACAAAGAGCTAAATAAGGAAAAGATTAGTAAAAGTTAAAAGTTTGTTTTAAATTTCCAGAATTTGGCTTAACATTCTTCACAGCAGATACCTGTCGTAGGATTTTGATTAACCACTTATTTTGAGAGCTTCAGTTATACCAGCTAAATTATTAGCTCTAGTCTGTGGATACTGAATGTATTGAAGTTGTGCATTATGAGTGATGGTCTTGGCTTCTCATAACTCTCCCTCTATATAAGTAAACAGAATTAAGTTTAAGAACTCATCTCCTCCTCCATCTATCTGTTGCTCAAAATTATGGCTAATCCTATCGCCTCGTGTCTTTGGTTTTTTCTCATCCTAATTCTTTTACTGCCATCAACAATGGCTGAGTCAGATAGTTATATTATCCATATGGACACATCAGCCATGCCGAAAGCTTTTTCTAGCCCTCATTCTTGGTACTTGGCTACTCTTGCTTCTGTATTAGACAGTTCAAGTGCTGGAAGCAAAAACACCCTTGCTTCCTCTAAACTAATCTATTCTTATACGAATGCTATGCATGGTTTCAGTGCTAGTCTTTCTCCTTCCGAGTACAAAGCCATCAAGAATTCTCCAGGCTATGTTTCTTCGACGGAGGACAGGACAGTTAAAATTCACACGACCCACTCATCCCATTTCCTTGGCCTAAACTCAATGTTTGGTACATGGCCAAAGTCAAACTATGGCAAAGATGTTATCATTGGTGTAGTTGATACAGGGGTTTGGCCGGAGAGTAAAAGTTTTGATGATGATGGGATGAGCCAAGTTCCATCAAGGTGGAAAGGAATATGTCAAACTGGCACTCAGTTTAATTCTTCATTGTGCAACAAGAAACTCATCGGAGCTCGTTACTTCAACAAAGGACTACTTTCTAAAGTGAAAAATCTTACCATCATGATAAATTCTGCCCGTGATACAGAGGGGCATGGAACTCATACTTCATCTACAGCTGCTGGGAGTCATGTAAAGGGTGCGTCTTATTTTGGCTATGCCCCTGGTTTTGCTATAGGCGTCGCACCAATGGCTCATGTGGCTGTGTACAAGGCTCTCTGGGATGGAGCCGGCACCATCTCTGATATTCTTGCTGCATTGGATCAGGCAATTGCGGATGGTTGTGATGTCTTATCCTTGTCATTTGGCGCAGTTTCTCCATTCCCTCTATATATAGATCCTATCTCCATTGCTTCATTTTCTGCAATGGAGAAAGGCATATTTGTTTCCGTTTCAGCTGGAAATGAAGGGCCTTTCGATCAATCTTTGAGCAATGAGGCACCTTGGTTTCTCTCTGTTGCTGCTAGCACAGTTGACCGTGACGTTATCAGGATATTAACTCTTGGTAATGGAGTTTCAGTCACTGGTTTATCTCTCTACCCTGGGAATTCTACAAGTGATATTTCTGTTATTCTTGTCAAGAATTGCTTAGATAAGCAGGAATTGCAAAATGTTACAGACAAATTTGTGGTCTGTATTGACAAAAATGCATTGGTTGGGAAACAGGTTGAAAGTGTGAGACATTCAAATGCTGCTGGTGCTATCTTCATAACAAATGACTTTGTCACTGACTTGGACGAATACCTCAAAACAGAATTCCCATCTGTGTTTTTGAATTTCCAAGATGGTGATCAAGTTTTAAAGTATGTTAACAGCACTTCTTCACCAAAAGCAAGGATTGGACTTCAAGGGACACTAATTGGTGTCGAACGAGCACCAGCTGTCGCGCATTTTAGTTCGAGGGGGCCATCAACGACCTGCCCGTTTATCCTCAAACCTGACCTGATGGCTCCAGGTCACTTAATACTAGCTTCATGGTCTCCACTATCATCTGTGAGTCGATATACTGAACTTCACAATATCTTTAACATTATATCTGGCACATCAATGTCATGTCCACACGCTGCCGGTGTAGCTGCACTTGTTAAAGGGGCTCACCCTGAATGGAGCCCAGCTGCCATTCGTTCGGCCATGATGACTACAGCGGATGTTCTAGACAACACACAAAGTCCGATCCAAGACATTGGTCGTCCAGAGAATGCTGCTGCCACTCCTCTTGCTATGGGAGCTGGCCATATCAACCCTAATAAGGCAATAGATCCTGGACTCATCTATGATACAACACCACAAGATTACATTAATCTTCTTTGTGCTCTAAATCTCACATCCAAGCAGATAAAAACCATCACTAGGTCCTCTTATTCTTGCCCCAACCCATTATTGGACCTAAACTATCCATCTTTCATCGCCTATTTCAACGTGAATAGCAGCGAGTTGGATCCTACAAGAGTACAAGAATTCAAGAGGACAGTGACTAATGTCGGAGAAGGTGTGTCGGAATATACAGCCGAGCTGACTTCAGTGCCTGGACTTAAAGTCAGTGTTGTGCCTGAAAAGTTGGTTTTCAAAGACAAGTATGAAAAGCAAAGCTACAAGCTGAGGATAGAATGTCCAAAACTAATGAATGATTTTCTGGTTCATGGTTCTTTAAGCTGGGTGGAAAAGGGAGGTAAATATGTGGTTAGGAGCCCCATTGTTGCCACAAATTCTAAAGTTTGATCCTTTGTCAGGATAGCACTGATTACTGAATATTCCACTCAACATGTCTTTTGAGAACATGATATGTAATACATACTTGTGAAGTGTAGTTCTATTGTTCACAATATTATTGCCCTGTCAGTTCGAAAAATAATTTTCAGATTAATGGATTAATAGTTTGTCTATGATGATTACTTGAGTTTCTCAGTCAATCTAACTCGTTAAAACACGTACTAGTTGATATCTTATGAATTTAGAGCATAGAATAAGATAGATTTTGTGATAGATGTGTTGAATGCAATAGAATATAGGCATGTCTTTTCGGTTTGTATCACCAAAAGACTTACACCTCCCTGAATCTATTCCAATCAAAAGCGAAAACTATAGCCAATGAGTAACCAAATGCAATAAGCTCGTTGCTTGAAAACTTCTTTGTTTTTTTCTCTGCATGCTTAAATTGAAGAGCTAAGGCTGCTCACTTTTTGTACATCACAGTTGAATGAAAGTCTTCTTCTTTACATTCTGTCTACCTCATAGACAAAAATGCAGCATTTGAAATGGTAATATAGGAAGGGATCTCCACACCTGAAATGGGAAAGAATATATAAGCCTAATGTTCCTGAATATAGAGACTATAAAAGAGCCTATATATAGAGACCATCTGTTGTGCTGATTGAATCTTGAAATCTTTCTTGCTTTCTGGGCTCCATTTAGGGATTAGATGTTTGGTTTCATCATCCAAATTATGGCAATCAGGTTTCATGTGCAAGGATAATGATGCTTTACTTTACTTGCAACAATATCCATCTCTTTTATCAAGTTATCAAGATTCCTCATGGTTTTAGCAATTGTGGATGAACTAATATATCAAGCATAAGCACTAAGCAGTTCCCTAGTATTGATGCCTTAACTTCATGATATTTTTACACCAAACTGTACTAATTTGGAGCCCGTGTCACATAAGGAATTTTGAGGTAATTTCTAATAAGTATCTAAACTCTTATGTCCTTTGTAACTAGTCATGAAAAGAGAAAAAAGAAAGGAAAAAAGAGCATATTACAAAATTTTGGGTAACAGTAACCTTCATAATACGATAATTATTTTTAATTATTTAAAATACAGATACATATTTTAAATTGTAGATAATATACTAATTTTTAATATATATCAAAGTCGTCATCTAATAAAATACAACTATATTTTTATATTTACTCCCTCCCTTCACTTGTAGTTTTTGGTAACCATGTAAATATTACCATTGACAAAACAAATACTTATACTTAAAGAGCACTTGGTCTTGCACACACAGAGATCAAGCCTCCAACAGACAAACAGTAAGACTAATTACATTTGTAGCTGCTCTATAAAATTCCTACATCTATTAGTTTTCTGATATGAACTAATTGTATCCCCTCTAGCTAGAATCTCTCTCTTTATCTGTATAGCTATTCCTGCTGCCTGTACATGTATCCCTTTAAACAATTTCCAGTTCCTTGCCTTCCAAGTATGATACACCATTGCTCCCCATGTTGCTGCAACTAGTTCTCTTTGGAATTTCTGCCATTTCTTCTTTTTGATGCACTGTAGTATTGTCTTCAGACTTCCTGATGGCAATTGTGATCCCGTCCAATTCTCCACCCCTTGTTTGACTTCCTGGAACCAGGGGCATCCACCAAACAAATGATCAGCTGACGCAGTAGCTTGAGTATCACAGAGACAACAAGTCGGCTCTTCTACTGGTATATTCAACTTTCCCAGCCTTTCTCTAGTGAGTAGTCTATTTTGAACAGCTAGCCACATAATGATTCTGTGTTTAGGTTGAGCCACAGGAGTCCAAATTAACTCAGCATTAGCCAACCTTGAGTGATCATTCCTTAGTTCCATGTAGCTCCTATTAATAGAATAGACTCCTGTTGATGTGAGTCTATATCTACCATTTATATACCAGTTCTGCATTTTATCAGCTAGCCCTTTTATCTTCCTCCAATACCAGCTGCTATCTGCAGGTGCTGTGTGATTCCAGATGCTCTCCCCATTCTTTGAGTATACACCATGTACCCATTTTATCCACAATGAATCCTTATTTACTACCAGTTGCCATACCAGTTTTCCAACAGCAGCCATGTTCCAGCTTCTACATTCTTTGATGTTTAAGCCTCCATTCTTCTTAGAGCAACAAACTTTATCCCATGCAACTAAGGACACTTTCTTCTTATTTTCTAAGCCATCCCATAAGTAGTCTCTACATTTCCTATCCACCTCCTTCAACACACTTTGAGGCAGAATGAATACAGATCCCCAAAAGTTGTATATAGAGAAGAACACTGAGTTTATTATCTGTAGTCTCCCGGCATAGGATAGTTGTTTTGTATATGTCAACTTGATCCTATTAGTGATCTTATCTATCAGTTGCTGCCACTCCAATTTACTCCACTTTCTTGAGGACAGTGGCAATCCTAAATATCTGATTGGAAACTCTCCCATTGTGAATCCAGTTCTCTCTAGTAGCTGCTCCCTTCACTTGTAGTTGTCCACTTTTAACTTTGCACTTACTTTAAGCTAGCGTTTGGCCATAGATCACAAATTTGTTTTGAAAAATTTGATTTGGGTGAAGTTTGGTTTGAAGATGAAAATGTGTTTGGACATAAGTTTTCAAAATATATTTTCCAACTTTATTTTGGAAAAACATGTATATAATTCCCAAGTTTTGGGATTTTTGCCCAAAATCAGCTCTATAGCTGATTTTGGGATTTGAAATTTGGGATTTGAAATTTGGCCAAAATATAGGCAAAATTTATGGCCAAACATGAGTTTTGAAAATAAATCCCAAATTTATTTTGGCAAAACTCATGGCGAAACGGGGCCTAAGAAAAAATAAATAAAGTATGTATTTTATTTTATCCATAATAATGATAAAATTTCAAAAAAAAATTGGGAAATAATTTGGTAATGAGTAGTTAATGATAAAGGTAAAACATGAAGAATTTTTTTTTTATTTTTCTCTTGATATGCTAAAATAGACAAATAAAAGTAAATTAGTATAGTAGACAAATATAGTAAACGGAGGGAGTAACTGTGTATAACTTGTTGCATAATCATACCACCCTAAAACGTAGCAAGAGACGTGGATAAACCAAGGATTGACATCTGGCAATTGTAGGATAAAGACAAATTGTAATTCCTAGCTGATATTCAGAAGAAAGCCACCACCTCATTGACCGTTTTCGCCTCGTCCAAATCCCTCTCTTCGCTGAATTAGGGTTTTCTGTTTGATCCATCAATTTTGCAGAATTCAATCAATCATGTCATACGAAAAGCTCGACGGTTTAGCTAGGTGGTTCGGTACGAGCGTTGCGTCGGCATTTTTCGCATCTTTAGAACGATGCTCGTGTGTGAATCTCAACACCTCCGAATCCGACGACGAGGATGAGGAAGAAGCTAAAGATCGCCCTCTCATGGTCTCCACCCTACCTTCTCACCTCGATTCTTCCCCCCCTGCAACCAATCCTACCTCCGTTGATAAACTCCCCGTTTAATTCTACATTACTCGGTAAAATTTCTTTTTCTTGTTTTCCCCCCAATTTACCTGTTTCAATTGTGCATTTCGAGTGTTTGTTTGCTAGTGTTATAACATCTATTGAGTATAACAAGGAAGCAACTATGAGAATCAAAGTTGTTATGTAGTGATTGCTTTGTGTAATTGTGTCGGTTGCTTTGACAATGTAATATAGTATTGTATTTGAATTAGCTTGAACTACTAAAGAAGAAAGTATGCTGTAATTCTATAAGCACTGTGGTATGTTGGTATTGACCTTCAATATGTGTATGTGTGTTAATATATGAATAAGCATGCATTGTTATCAAATTGCTTTATGACTATTGAATACTGTATGTGTGTTTTGTTTGTGTGATATCTGTTATTTTTTTGTTTATTTTAGTTTAGGTAAGTGTAATTCTTCTATATTGGTTGTATATTCCATGTTTTTTTTAAAGCACCAAAAGATTTGTTGATGAAATTTTGGGCTAAAAACAATATCTTAAAGTTTCCCATGCAAGTTTTAACCTTAGTGTCATCGATGATATAAGGATGGGGTGGTCTATTGGAAAACATTCACTCGGAAATTGTTCCTCGTAAAAGGAATATAAGTTATAACCAATTGATTGAGTTCGAGAATAAGGATTGTTCTTTTCTGCTAAATGGATGAATGACCTTTTGGTTTTATAGAGTAACTAAACATACTATGAAACTAGAAAACAAACAAGTAAAAACAACGAACAAGCAAACTTATGTTGTAAAATTCAATAAGACAAAGTATTCAAGGGTTATGGGTCAGTTAACAATCCGGTTGAGTTATTCACTTAAATTGATTAATTAATTTATCTGGTTTTTACTTGCTTGTTCAAGTTAACCTAATGCCGATATTCCTATAGAATTAGAGTTAACAAAGATTGCAATAAATACTTCTTGTATGATAACCAAGCAAGATGATTAGGTGTACTCAAATCCTAACCGCGAATTCGTTCCCCGAGGTTCAGGTTCAAGGACTTGCTCTATTCAATCCTATTGCAATCTAGAATTCTCATTTTCGAGTTTAATTCAAGATTCGTAGATAGTTGGGTGCTACAGGCACCGTGGGCCAGTGGGCATGGGCACTGAAATTGCTCTCTGAAAATTCCCTAGTGTTGAGTGCCATTGGCACGAGTGGTGGCCTAGGCACTGAATTCTTCCTGGTCTATATTTCTTTTTTTCTTGCTCCAAATTCCATCTCCCATGTACCCATATCATCCATTAGCACCCAAATTAGTGTAAGACTCGATAAACAAGCTAAGTTGGGCATGCTCAACATAATACAGCTAAAAAGCTGTAAGAATGTGAACAAAGTAATATATTGAAGCATACATAAGTATGCCCAACATCAATAGAGGGTAGGTAACAGAAGAGAAAGCTTCTTTAAGATTAGGGCGATAGATTTACTTCCGGATTTCGCTTTAAGAGCTATGCTATTAATATTGTCAAACAAGATTTTAACATTGTTTTACTGGGTATGTTGTTGTTGTTGTTGTAAGATTTTAACATTGTAGAGTATGCAGTCTGCCGAGTTATGAAGGCAGTTACTACACATGGTTCGTAGTGATCGATTGGAGTTATTAGTTTAGATATGAAATGATCGGGACATCTATTTTTAGATGAAGTACATGTTTGTTACTTCACTCACCAGAAAAATTGCGCTGCATGGCCAAGACTGCTCTTTTTTAGTGAGATTTTAGTTCCCTTTGTGTTTTGATTTAGAGAAACTAAGATTGACTGGAATTGTTACTCTGAGAAGAAGACTGTTATTGGTTCTGCCTGTGGATTTAAAGTCTCAATTTTGTACAATAGCCTATACTTGGTTAGATTATACCTGTCTTTGAGAGGATTTGGTCAATTATAAAGTACTGCAATGTCTAGAACGTTTCCGGGTGTAATATCTAGAGACCGAACTGAATGAGAATTGTGTGTACGGCTGCTTAGATAGAAGACTTTGGAGATCTCTGTGTATCTCAAACCAATGTCATCTTGGCCAAATCATAATTCTGTTGATGAACTGCTTTCTGACTGTTCGCTTTGACTGCTAGTAGAAGAGTTTAGTGCTTTGGTTTTAAAAAGAACTTGTCTGAATAAAAGGCTAGTCAAAGACAAAGGAACATTCTTGATGCTAAATGTTTGCGCTGTTTCAAACTAACATCTTTGGCGCTGAAAATATAATTACATAAATAAGGGCACTTTCTTTTGATAATGAGTAATGACACCTACTTAAGGCCCCCCCCCCCCCCCCCCGGGTAAGTTGCAACTTGAACAAAAGTTTGATTGCAATCCATATTTTTTGCTCATGTTCACGGTGCTTTTGCAACCTTATTTCACCTAGACAACTTATCCTTCTTTCCATTTTCTATTTTCTCAGAACTGGGATCATGCAGCAACTGTCATAGCAGTCCTTTGGTTCCAACAGAGTGGATTTACTCTGGTATAAGCTGTAACATTGTTAGTAGACATTGATTTTTTCTTTGATAGGGTTGTATAAGATGTGTTGTCTGTTGACAGTCTTGTTACAAGGTCAAACATTAGAAGTCACTTATCGTATGCATTTTGCTTTTCCTTCACCTCGTCTTATTGAAAGCTATGGTGACAGAGAATGGCATACATAGCATTGGGCTACTTGAATTTGAAATATCTACAGATTGTTTTCACCGATAGTGACTTCTGTGTTTCTGCACCTTTTATACATAAACCATTTGCTTATTGAAAGAAAAGAAAAGAGATTCTGGTCGTGAGGCCTTTACTTTAACGTTTATTTGCTTAAGCAAACCATCTTTACTATTTAGATTAGAAGGAAGAAAATTTTCTCTAAAAGTTAAGTACCAAAATATGCTATGAAATGGTTTTTTGGTTGGCCTGTGGACAAAGGATATGGTTTTTACTTTTTAGCTTGGCCATTCATCTATTTTTTTACCACTTTCAAATCAAGGAATGGGAGAGTGAAAGCAAAGACGCGTCTATATGTGTTTGGAACGCCTTTGGTTGTCAGGAAACCGAAACAGATTGTTTAGTGCGGCAGATCATGGACAAGATAACAAGGAATAGAAAAGGGAATCTTACAAAATGATCCAAATAAGTTCTAACTTTATCAACTTCGGGTCAAAATAAGCCAAGCACACACAAAAATTAAAAACTCAAATAAATAAGGATTTTTTCTTTCCAAGAATCACACGAAAAGAAAATTTCAAGAAAATTTCATAGATGAGGTAGCAAATAAGGTGATGAAATAAAATAAAGAAAATACAAGATTCCAAAAATCTAAAAGAAAGAGACTTTTTTAATGGATATGGTTGGAATTCATTGAAAACATATAGATAAGTGAATATATAAATTTGAGGAAGATTGGAGGTGATTTGGGCTAATTTGGTATCAAAATTCGTAGTTAAAATCGAGCTCAAAACACTCTTCTGCGATACATGTATTTTACTCACATGTATATATGGATATACATGTGATACACATTTGATACAAATATGATGCATATGTGATACACAAACGATACACAGTGTGACACACATTTCATCTTTTTTCATGTTCATTTTTTATTTCGTATTTTCAATTTAAACCACCTCAAAACTCTACCAAATCACCCCAAAACTGAGATTTAAACTCCTTAAGATGTCCAACAACATTCATTCAAAAGAAAGCAAAAATTAAAAAATAATATAAAATTGATACAAATAGCTAATTGGCTAATATTTGTAATAGTTTATGAATTAGTTTATTTTTGTACTAACTTACCAATGAACTGACATAACTGATAATTTCCCAATAAAAAAAGTAACTGGCTCATCGGTGGTCTTGTTTGTAATTGGCCCGTTGGCTACATGTGACTCTACTCTGTAAGTTGCTTATTATCGTTGTTATTGATTTCACTTCCAGAGTATAATCTGAAGTCCACAAATTAGACAAACAGAGGGGATTTAGTCCCACAAAAGCAAGAGGAAGAGAACAACAAAAAGATCAATGACCAAAGGAAAGGATAAAAGACGAGAAAGATATCTGATATACGTATATCAAATAATGGTGGGAAAGGGCGAGAAGAGTAAAGCGGATCCATAAAATATAGTAAAATAGCACGGTCTAGTCAGTTTTCGGACTGGTCATTCAAAAATAGTCAGCGTTTACCAAGTCAATGAAAAATAGCCACTATTTTGCTGCAACAGAGACCGGTCCAGCATAATATACTGGAGTTCGGTGCACCTGTGTATGAACTTCCAGCATATTATGCTGGAACTCCAACACACGGAAAGTTCCAGCATAATATACTGGAGATTCGAGCACTTGTGTATGAACTTCCAGCATATTATACTGGACCGGTATACTTTGCTGGAACTCCAGTATATTATGCTGGAGTTCTAGTGTACTTATGCTGGAACTCCAGCATATTATACTGGAGTTCCAGGATAAGTTATCCTGGAACTCCAGTATAAGTTATCCTGGAACTCCAGTATAATATGCTGGAGTTCAATTATACTTAATATACTGACGTATTTTTCGCGTTTTGAATAGTGTTTTCGCTCAGATTTATCTTTACATGAAAAGTGGCTAAATTTCGATTACTTTTGAAACTGGGCTATTTTTGAACGACCACTTATAAATATGGCTATTTTTGAATTTCTCCCTAAAATATACGCCGCTATGTTTAAAAGAAAATTAGACAATGCAAAATGTAGTATCACAATTCAAATGTAGTATCGCGAGTTCAAAACGCAAATGTTTAAACAAAAAAGCCCTTTGCAAGCCTAGATGCTAAGGCATTCTTCCTGTTACTCTTGCCATCATTCTTAACACACACATGGTCAGAATCCAGCCAACTAAACTAGCTCTAACTAGTGCTTTAGAAATTCATGGACTCGATCCTCGCAAGTTGGCTAAAAAATTTTATAGACTATTTCTGGAATATGCATTCAATTATACAGGCTAGTTGGCAAGAATCTCAATTATTAATTACATCATACACGATAGCCTGTTCATATTCACCTAAGTACTGGCGAAAAAAAAAAAAACAATAAGCAGGAAGTTGTTCAACGAGAATATTTGGATACCAAAAATTGATGAACCTTAACACAAGGTTCAGTTGGTGTTATTTTGATTTTTGACTTTGTAGGAGAGCACTTAGCTCACTGCATATACAAAGCATATACACTAACTAACTACTTTGTACATAACTAACAACAAAGTGACTGTGTGTCGATTTCATATGTGTTGAATCATAGACTGTGACACTACTAATCTATTTTAAAGCTATAAATTGGAAATGCCACCTATATGTTAGTGTAACCCCAATGTCACTGGCATACCCCTCTAATTCTCACTTTACCAGAAAAGAGGAGCCTGCTATTACAGTAGAGAGAGCACACTTGCCTGAAAGCATTATCACATTGGTACTAACTCGGATTCAGGTAAAATTACGCAGCTAAAAACCAATGCTCCAACAAGCTGCCCACCCTAGCCTTCTCACAGCCGTGATGTGGTTAATCCCGTCTTCAATGAACCAGATGACGGACAATAGTCAATCATTCTGATCAGCCAACTTACCATAAAAGACGATGTTCTCCACAATTCCTCAAAGAAAATTTCAGCCACCACACTTTTTCCCAGTCTCACGCAGAGAACAAAAGAAAGAGGCTCCTCTACAAGGTCCCTCGGTAATACAGGATATATTTATATAAATATTATCTCCACTTGTGCAGGTAACATTCCTTCCATTTGCAGCAAATATGACATCTCCAGTAAGTTAGAATTAGAAGATATCTCCAGAACCAAGTCAGAGGATATTTACCAATTAGTGGCAAGAGCACGGCACACAACCACCTATCTTTGGACATGCTATTAAATATCTAGAGGGGCTAGTCAAACATCATTTCTCATTGCGTAAGCAATTGCAACATGAACTGTTGAATCCTTCCCTGCAAGCCCTAGGGGAAAATTGTTGTGTTCTCAAGTAAGCCACAATGTAAATTCTCCCAAAAGAGGAGATAACTTCCAGTTCCAGAAACCCCCTTTACATCACTACTCGTCAAAGTGGCAGAGGCAATCCATAATTATGGAATGACCTTATTCGCCCATCGTAGCCTGCAGTGACAATAACTAAACCCCAAGCATGAGAATTGGATGAACTCTGGCAAGAACTTTTTAGAAGCTTGTATTCAGATCTGCACATCCGAGAAGACACGGACCGAGGACTTGACACGGGAAGCTTCTCTTCAGGCCAGGTTGCTGATCCCTTTGGAATTGCCTCAAGGAACAATTCACGGCCCAAGGAAAGATAGGGAGAGGCCATGAAGGGTAATAGGCTATTTGGAGTTTGACTTAGTCCTCCTCCAGAGTGCCATCCATTATCTGGATTTACAGTTTTCAAGCCGGACCAAGGTATTGCAATGGAGACATCACTAGAGAAGAACTCAGATGACCTCACCACTTTAGGTTGCGAAACATAATCATCTTTGAGAATGTCACAGTTCCATACGTAGACATTAGAATCTTCAGATGCAGAGATAATATGCTTCCCATCTGAGGTGAAAGTGGCAGAGAGATGGTTTCCTGCATTTCGCTGGCCTAGAGAGCAGAGCAGCAGTAAATTAGACAACAGTAGAGGATAAGGAGCTACAAGTAGCTAAAACTAGCAACTACAACGGAGAGATCACAACAAGTACCCAAGTCAAAAACAATATAAGTATACTGCATGTCCCACAATCATAGAAAATCACATGTCAATTTTCATTGCCGTTATAAGGCAAGCACAAGGCACTCAAATGACAGGGCAAACAGACATCAAATGGGTTACTATCTGAAATAAGAAAAGGGAACAAACCTTTGTACTTGCCGATCACATTGATGCCATCTAGGATTCTGACATGAGAGTCAGCAGAAGTAACCATTACTTTAGATGGGTCTTGCGGCAGAAACTGCGAAGAAACATTACATTGGCATCTCATTACAAGGTAAATCAGAAAATTAATATGATCAGAACTACAGACTGTGGTTTGGTGATATATTGTTACCTGAAAGCCAGTAATCCTTTTGCAAACTGACTTCTTTTTATTGGCCAAGAACATCTGCTCCTCTAAGTGGATCTCATGACCTGTCACAGTACAGCTTTGTCTCAACTCATTGCACATCTTAGCAGTAAAAGTATGGACCAGAATACCGAGTCGTAATATTCCTAGACATTCCTTGTAATCTTGCTATCACATTTGACATACTCCAGAAATAAGCACATCACTAAGACACAATGATCATGATAGCTACAAATAGTAATACTACTCAGGTAATTGTGCTCTCATGAAGATATGCCTTGCCTTGACATTTATTAAATGATTTTTGAAGAATAACTAATAAAAGATGGCTTAAGTAAGACCAACCAAGCAAAAGGCTGGAACATGTCCAGGAAATCAATACACCAAGAAGTGCTGATGGTAAGCGCAACCGCTGTCACCGCACAGGAAAAGAGACGAGAAACAAAACAAGGGAATAAGCAATTCCAATAACTAGCTAAACGTTATCATTTCCTAAAACCAAATCTGAAGGCCAATCAACTGCCACATTCCATCTAAACAAGAGCAACGACTTGACACATAGCATTGCAATGCCATAAATTAAAAATCTGACTCTGCGAGATATTTAACAACTAACAAATACCACAAAGATAAGAGAGACCATTACCTTCTACATTGAAAAAACGGCAAGTGCCTGCCATAGAGCCAATAATCCCACCCTATGCGAAGCAGATAATTTGTTCAATAAGTTGCTCAAATTTCTGATCTTTACAGAAGTGCAATGACTAAAAAGGGAAAATTGTAAACCTTTCCATCAGGACGATAGGAAACAGCAGTCACTATGTCTCTGATATCAGTCCAATCCAATACTTGACAGCTGTTAACGGCCCAAATTCGAACTTTCCCGTCTATTGATCCACTGACGAAGTATTCATCATTCAGGGGGTTAAACTGTATGCAAGTCACTGCAAAACCAAAGAGAATAATGCAGCATGAAACTCAAACACTACAGACATGTAATAGAACGGCTTATCACGATTAACACACGCTGAGTCACAAAAGTATACTAGAGTGGAGTCGGCTCATACCGTAATTACTATGTGAAAAAACTCTGAGGCACAGATCATGTCCAACTTGCCACAGACGAACAGTTTTGTCAATTGATGATGAGAGCAAACACTGCTGGAACAATACATAATAAGAAATGAGATTACTTTCAGAATTATTCAGAAAATTGTTAATCAAAGACATTCTAATAAGCTTACATTATTCTTTGACCATGAAAGATCCAATATCTCCCCAGTATGCCCTTGGAACACATGCAGTGGTTTTTCCAGAATTCGGAAGACCTTTGGGGGGAAAATGACACAGGCCGAGTCTGTTGTTTTCTTAAGGCCCTTCAACTTATTAATTCTGTCTTTCTCTGTCGCCAGAGGAGCCAGTTGAGAAAGATGATTCACTGTGAAATACATACACGAAGGATCTAACTCTGGAATATCAATTTCATTGGATCTCTCATCTTCAACCACTTTCCACACCCGCACAATCTTATCTTCACCAGCACTAGCTAGGTACTGCCCATCAAAACTGAATTTCATAGTTAAAATTGAACCCTCGTGAGCCTGGATATCCTGCCCCATGAAAAGAGCAGAGAGTTCCTTTAGCTGCTTCCTACAATGGCGAACCTTAACCCTCTGAGCTCTAGACCTCTGAACAAGGTCGGAACTGTTGTCCGTCGAATCATGACATCTCCCTTCGCCATTTGCGACGCATGTAAATGACCGTAGCCTACTCAATAACCGACTCTTAACTCCATTCAGTTTCCTCGGAGAGCCTCCATTTTTATGCAGTTCTCCGTGTCCAAGTTTCCCGATCACGGGGGACATACATGGAGAGTTCTCAGGCTCGCGAGACATTAGCAGTCGTTCCAATCTGACAGCTCTGTTATTACTTTGCTGGCCATTCTCTGCCTCAACATGTACACTGCATCCTACTCCACTATAAACATTCCCACTTCTACATAAGTAGTTCCCATTTGAACCCAAATTTTTAGATGAACCCAAAGCTTCCCCACACGATCCAGACTGGTAAGATGATAATTCGTCCTTAAAAATTGAAGTCCGTAAAACGGCTCCACTACTCTCCATTATTCTTTCAATCTCTCCAGTAGAGAAATCAAATTCGGAGCTTCCGCATGAATCTACTGGATCTTCTCCAGACATTCCATCTACACTTAAGCCCATCCGACTAAGGAATTTCCTACGCCGCTCTCCAACACTTCTGGGAGTTCTAACCCACATATCGTACTGGTAGCTGGCATCATCGTCAGTAGATTTGGGAATCCGGGTGCAGATATCAGATATCTGGGAAATGCTATCAGGGGCATCGAAAAATTGACATTCTCCTTCTTCATCATCATCACTGAAACTACCCATTGATACCTTGAGTTCACCCCATGAAACCCCACATCAAGAAATCATCTTTCTAAGCCCTAGGCAATGTGTTATAAATTATTCCATCCTTCACAATACCTAAATAAATAAATAACAGAAATTGCATGAAGTTAAACAAACAAAAAACACGACTACCAAGATGAGTTAATACGGATTAAAATAATAGCCATCACTTTACTAACAAGAAAAACAATTATACTATCTCTAACATTACAAAAAAACAATAGATCCAGCAAATGCATGGATCCCAATCCACTCCCATTGAACCTGGTCTCCCCCACATCATATAACTTCTCATTCTTCAATTTCAATTAAGGGTAACCACCCCACCCCCACCCCCACCCCCAAATTAACCCCCACCACACCCCTATATTCCAATACTATTATACTTCTGCATAGAAATATGAACCCTAAGCAACATCTCTTTTGCACCGAAAATTAAAAAACCCACCATCAGGATGACGACTGTGAATACGTTAGGCATCAACTGATTTATCACATTCAAAAGGATAATCACACACACACACCCAAGAAATAAAAACTCAAAATTTACGATCATTTAACATGAAAATGTATAAATCACAAACAAAAAATGTAAAACTGAAGGGCTAAAGAAGATTGTGCTCACATGGGTCCGGCTTGTTTCAATGAAATTGAATGGATGGGAAATGAAATGTAACAGAGACAACACTCTCTTCCTCTCTTTCTTTCCCTTTGAGCAAATAAAAGAAAGGACTGACCATTAAATTAAAAACGGAGATAGAAGGTGTAATTAATGGAAGAAGAAGGATCTAAACTTGGAATTTTATTTTATCAAAAAAGAAAAGGAAAATAATTGAGAAAAAAATAAAAAAGGGAAAAAAGAAAACTGTCTTGATATTCGTGATTACGGATGGCCCGAGAAACGAGATTTCGAGACTAGTAACTTAGTAAGTAATAGGCTTCTGGTCCTCTTCTCTGTGTGTGTGTTGTGTGGTCTCTTTGGTACAAAAAGTACTTTTATTATTCACTTTTCTCTATTGTGCGCCACCCTATATACATACGCCCACAACTCTCGCATGACAAGTTTTACCGTGTGTCTCGCACAACTTACATTAGTTATGTGAGATTACTTTTTGTCTTACAAATTTGTAGACTCCAATCTTACATTTCTGGGTTCACAAGAAGGTGACACAAAAAAATTGTATAATATACAAAATAAAATTTTCATTACAAAACTCCCCCTTTTCTCTCTTTTTTTTTTTTTTGTTAATATTATTTTCAGCATCTTTTGTCCTTTTTCTTAATTTCTCAATATCTTTTATTTAATACGTATTAAATGAGACGGATTAAATGGAGCGACTTAGACATTAAAGATCCATATAAATTATAATCGCCTCAACTTATTGATTCGTTGTTTATTTGTTATTGCCGGATGGTTCCCGTGCTTCTGCATTGGTTCGTCCGACCCTAACATTTTTCGACGAAAATATAGATTTTTAGGTGAAAATTGGTAAGAATTCATAATATTATATTTGAGATGACAATTTTAAAATTATAATGGGTTTAGTTTTAACAATACTTAAAGGTGAACCCATTTAGTTAAAATCCTGAATTCACTTTTGGATATTGTTGTTGTACTATACATCGAATTAAGTTTGATTACATGATATTCTCCTCCGATCCATTCTAATTAATTTTTTGGCTTTTTTTTGCGGTCCACAACATTTGATTTTTTCAGATATCAAAAAAGGAATTAATTTTTTCTTCCAAAGTTGTCCTTGGAGTAAAAAACTTAAGAGTATTTATTACAAATTAAGGTTAATATGGTCAATTTCATAATTAATGTTAAAAGGTGAATATCTTAACATGTGTGAAAACAATCCAAAAATCAATGAAATTGGACAGCATGGAGTAACATTTATTCACAATTAATTACATGTGCTTAAATTGGCTCCATGCCAACACTTAATTCACAATTAATTATGCTGCTTAAATTGGCTCCATGCTAACAGTTATCTTATTTACTTTTGTGTGCTTAATAGGTTTTATCAAACCTTAAATGGTTTATTTTGTTTGGTCTTAAACGTCATCTGTCTCATAAATAATTCAAGTTCCATATCTCTTAGAGGTCGTTTGGTAGAGTGCATTACACAAAATAATGCTTGCATTAATTTTGTGTATTAGTAATACCTTGTTTGGTACACTTTTTCAAGTTATGTATAACTAATACAAGCATTAGTTATACATCCTATTTGGTATTATCTTGTGTATAGCTAATGCATAGCAAAACCATGGTATTAGTAATACCAAGTCTATTAATGCATGCATAATGCATTAGTATGTCTAAAGACAAAATTGTCCTTAAAGTCCTTTAAAACTAAAGAATATAGAGGGCATTTTTGCAAACAACTATTTTTTAAAAAAATTATGCATGCATTATAGTTTTTAATAGACAACACCAAACAATGTATAAAAAATAATTTCTGCATAACTAATGCTTGCATTACTAACACATGCATTACTAATCCCTGCATTACTAATACACCATATATAGCATTATTCTTATATACCCTACCAAACGACCCCTTAATGCAGGGGTGGATGCACCTTGGCTTAAGCGGTGTCATCCGACACCACTTCGTCGGAAAAGTTTACTAAATATGTAATTAATATGCAAAAATAACATATGTAGATAATAAATAAATAAAATGATTTTGCTTGAACCGAGTACTGCATCAGCTCACGTGGTTAGGTGCGTCTTTTACTTCTCTTAATTAGGTCGTGGGTACAAACCCCACCAACAGCATATGTTTATTATTTTTAGAATTTTGTGCCCTATTTATTAAAAGTTTACTCTTATATTAAATTCTAGGATGCTAGTCCATTGTTAGTTGTCATGTGTTTTTTGTGTGTAGAGGTTGTTTAAGAACAATTTGCAAAACCATGTGAATGATAAGGTTTTGAGTAATTATTTGATGCTTTTATAAAAAAAGAGGTATTTGGGAAATAATTTTTAATGAGGATACTAAATAGAAAAAAGAAATGACGAACTCAGCTTAAAAAATAAATACTCATCGAGGAGAGTTGTATTAATAGTTTGAATATATTTTTTTAAATATGATTCGAACTGTATTTTTTTAATTTATTCATTTTCTTAAATATCGACACCGCTTAAGAATAATTCTGCCTATGCCCCTGCCTTAATGAATGCCAAATTTTTTCATAAATCCAATACGAATGTTCACCAAATGCTTTCTAAAGGTAATTAAATATATATAACTTGTGTTGATACGTTTACTTTTTAATTTACCTATAGAATAAAGCAATTTTACATTCTAGAGACATCCAAAAAATATCAACAATTAACCATCCACAAAAAATAATGGAGGACTAATACCGTTCATTGAAAAAAAAAATATACTAAATTAATTCATACTTCACGCACAACTTTAAGATGTGATACTATAAGAGGTGGAATTTGAAATAAGACGTGACGCTTATGACGGAGAATGAGTTAATAACAATGGATTAAGACAACATAAAGGATAAGTTCAGACAATAGGGCCAAAATGGATAATTGTACTATGAGCTTATAAATATGGTATTAGAGTCAGATTCTATTAATACAATAGGGAAATAAACCTTAATAAAGATACTGTGTCCCTCACTAATGTATGTAATATATGACATAACACAAATTTATATGGTGCGCATATCTTTACACTTTGATGTAATGTAACTTAAATAACATATTCGTGAAGTTATTCTACCAGAGCCAATAATAATGTACTTACTTATTAAGAACTTAGACTATAAAAACTAATTTATGGTTGTACTAAAGTTTGTATAGATGCATACCGAGTCATACTATTTCACAGAAAACCGGTCATTTTACATGAAAATTTGGGAGCTGGATAATATAAGACATTGGCTTTTATTGTTGGTCAATTCTTTTTGAAGTTGTTACATGTTCTTTTTTAAATAAGAATTTAGTAGCGTAAAGTAATTGAAGTATATGGAATCCATCATCGAAAACGATTTAAAAATAAATAATTAGATGACACGCTTTAAGAGAAGTTTAATATATTTCGTGGATTTTGATCACATAATTATTTTGTGCATGCAGTAATTTCCTTTTCACGGGTTCACATTAAATTCTTTCGTAAAAATTGCACGGGGCGCCCAACCTTTTAACCTGTAGCCGCTTTGTCTTTCTGTTTGCACCCGTACCCACTTTTTAAAAAACTTCAGCTTCCCTTTCTCCTCCACTTCTCTTCTTCTTCTTCTTCTTCTTCTTCTTCTTCTTCAATACCACAGTTCTTGCTCTTCACTGTAGTTAGTGTTTGAGATAAGCCTTTACAAATAGAATATGAGATTGGAACTTGCTAGTTTCATGCTTTGCGGTAACTGAAGAAGATAGATTTTCTGGATTTAGCTTTGCACGATATGTAATCGTCAGATTTTCATTGACCATTCTAACAAATTTTAACGGGAAATAATATGTAGCTACTTAAACATGATATTTCAAGACTATCCGCCAAAAATTGCTAGATATTTCCATGTAATTCCTTTGATGAATGTACAAGAAACAACATAGAAACTTCAGCTCTAGAGCTGAAGTTTTTATTTTATAACTGGCAAACTTCAACTGTAGAGCTGAAGTTTTCCGGTTACAAAGAAAAACTTCAGCTCTAGAGCTTAAGTTTTTATTTTATAACTGGAAAACTTAAGCTGGAAAACTGCTTAAGTTTTTATTTTATAACTGGAAAACTTAAGCTGGAAAACTGCTTAAGTTTTTATTTTATAACTGGAAAACTTAAGCTCTAGAGCTTAAGTTTTTATTTTATAACTGGCAAACTTCAGCTGTAGAGCTGAATCTAGAGCTTATGTTTTTATTTTATAACTGAAAACTTAAGTGGAAAACTGCTTAAGTTTTTATTTTATAACTGGAAAACTTAAGCTGGAAAACTGCTTAAGTTTTTATTTTATAACTGGAAAACTTAAGCTCTAGAGCTTAAGTTTTCCGGTTACAAAGACAAAAACTTCAGCTGAGGTTTTCCAGTACAAAAGAAAAACTTCAGCCCCGTGGGCTGAAGTTATGTGAAAAAGCGGGTACGCTTGCAATTTTTTTTGCAAAGCGGGCACAAGTTAAAAATGTGGTACAAAAAACGGGTATAGATGCAAATGCCCCAATTCTTTCCAAATTCTAGCACAAACCGATTTATCTACTTTTTAGTTTTTTATCTCTAGTTTTCAAGATTTAGTTCAAATATTTTCAGAAAGGCTAGATCACAAAGTCAAATATTGAAAATTGCAATGATACACGATCATTTTAGATATCTAATCTAATTTATAGAATAACGGAGCTTAAAATTTGGATATTTTTAGCAAATAAGTTTTAGCAATCTGACAAAATAAGAAGAATTAACTAAAATATTCGTCCATCCAACCTCTTAAACAAAAAATAGCCGATGAAGATAGAATAAATACATAATTTATGCATTATATGTATATAATTGTATATAATGAATGTATAATTTATGTATATGGCTAAAAAAGTTAAACAATGAATATAATAAGCTATTTGTGTAAAGATCCCAAAAAATAATGTAAAACTTAGTGTATTAAATTAAACTATCGAGTTTTAAAGTTTTGCTAATTCAATTGTACATATTGCATTTCTTGTGCATACTAGGGGACAAATAATCATTCTTCCTAATTTTACATGATCTGTCTATAATCTTAACTTCCAAAATAATTACGAGAAACTTTTTCTTGAAATATACTAAGTACTATTTTCGTTAAGGCACTAAAATTACCAATCTCGACTAAGCACTAAATTGTGGGGTTGGGGGGGGGGGGTTAGGAGGGGAGGAGGTAAACGTGCTCATAGGTCAATTATCTATTTTTCAAGTCAAAGTCAAAGTTCACAAATAGACTTGGACGTAAAAACAACAAAATACGTAGGATCATTTTGACCAAGAATTT